TCGAAATTCATATTAAAAAGTGCTATCTACTTGTGGAAATTAAGTATCGTAAATATCAATTTATTTCCTCCGCCACATAAAGTTTCTCTCTAACCTATGTGCTTAAAGTGTTGTTCGTGTGAGGTTTCTTCAAGATTGAATCTTAAAAATCACATTAGTTATTAATTTCAGAATAAACTTACTGTGAAGATGTCATTCGTTGTTAAGTTATCGATATAGCATCAGAAATAATGAAATTTATTTTTAAAAATCTAAAACATTTCTTCTTCAGATCTACCAAATACATTAGACAAAGACAGAAGAACAGAAGATGACAACTCATGTCATTATTTCGAAAGTATAAATAACAAAGAGATATCCACGTTTTCTTTGATATCAATTATATGACTCCGACTAAATAGTCGCTCTTTTTCCATTTCGGTTTTTAATGTATCAGAGCATATCTCAATGAGAAACTGGGATTGAAGAATTTAAGGTGATATCAAAATATTAATACTCTGTTGTATATATAAAATCTATTATTTGTAAAATAAATAGATAACTAAATAGGCAAACAATAAAACGGTAGATACATGAAAAACCATAGTGAACTAGAGATTGTACAAAAGACACACAATTGAAAAGCACCTTTTCATAATTTAGAGTGAAATACAGTAGCGCCAAACAATGAATTAAACTGCATCATACAGCTGTTCCGTGCTTCTAGGACCCGTCAGTGATGCTAAGGGCCTAAATATCTCACTTGTCGACTAAAGCAAATAATTGATTAACTTCATATATGCTGCCGTTCACATGCCGACGAGACTAGAGATGTCTTATCAGTATAAAAAATAAAATCCACTGAGCACCAAAACATTTAGAATCATTTTTCAGATTTAAGTTTAAGAATAAAAAACACATAAGGAAATATTCAAGATGGAGACATTTGGATTGACAAAGCTGTACATGTTCAGTATCATCGATGCTGATGCCGAAGACGCATACCCTTTACGATATTTGTTAACTTGTTATATTTTCTGGCTGTTTTGTAATGTCAGTTGTAAAATATTGTTAAGAACTGTAAAGATATTGTAAATGAACAGTTACAAAAACGACATAGAGGTCTCATTCGGTAATATTCTATTTCCTTCTGTGATATGAAATCGAGCGAGTTTGATGTTCATAAGTATACCTGTTCGTTCCATTGTTTGTATTTTCATTTAGGAACATGATATTACTTACTTGGGTTGACGAAGATTTACACTTCCTTCTTTTCCCTAGTTTTATTGAATTTGAGTTTGGTATGTGATTCTGTTGACAAATTGGTGTTTTCTGTGTTGTTTTAAAACACCACATATAAAATGTTATTTAGGAATAAAAATCGAAAAAAATGTTTTTTTTACTTCTCATAAAAAAGATTAGAAACAAAAAGAATCGACAAAGTTCTGAAATTGACATGAACTTTAACAAATTCCGTAGTTATGTGCATTTATTTCACAAATGAGAGGCCATGTACTTTTCCCATATCTTTGATAGTATTTTTCAGTAATGGAAGTCGTCAGAGATCCATAACGGTATCAATGCTTATAAAATAATCTATTTTCAAAGAGATTCAAAGCCAGTCCTAACGATTAAAATCCAGATGAAATGATCTTTATCTTTCTTCCAGAGGAGATGCACGTTTTGCAGAGGGCAGGGACTTTGCATCGGTTAGAGTAGGTCAATGTGAGCCAACATTTTCAGCTTGATTGCGGCGTAATGGAGCATAGAGCTGACTTCCGTGACGTTTAGCTGTAGGTGGTGTTCGTATCTCAATGGTCCAAGGTCACGTATAACTGTGCTGAAGATCCTGGTGTCTTGTCTTTAGTACACGATCTCAAACACGAACGAATATCTCGAGTTTCTATACATACAAAATCCCAAAACGCAGTAATGTGCGAATAAGACCACAACAACCTAAACTGATCACTTAAATACATAATATCTGATTTACATTTAAATATCTTTTTTTTTCCTTTTCTGTCCTAGCTATTGTCCTGATATATTTATTCGAAATACCAAGGGCTATACAAATACTTAAAAACTGTTCCAGCAAGAACAAAGAAGTGTTTTACGCGGTTCATATTTTGTCATTTTTGTGATTGGCCTTGAAATCTTCGTGGCGAAGTTTAAAATTCAGACGATGTTCCTGGAATCCCGATGTTGCAATCATGGAATCATATTTCCGTAATAACAATGCTAAATGTACCTGTTGTAAATTTGGCATCGAAGCATTGCAATTGTCATTATGTTTTCAAAGAGCTTGCTTCCCTAACGATAACTATGCCACATATCTCCTGGAGAGGGCAATATTTCTCACCAACCAGGAAGAGTTTTTTCAACTACATATGCTTAACAACAAATTATTTATACTTCTATCTACATTCATACGCTCTAATCACAATTAACATTACAAAGTTGATGACGTGTTGTTTGCATTCATACTATTAATCTATTCCACAAACTGCTTAAATTGTTGTTTCGTTCTATCAAAATAGGTGGTGACCATGCCGCTATATGTAGCTTACATCTTACCAAACAATACACGGTAGCCACATCTCGTATTTAAGTACTTTATTAAAAAAAAACAATTACACAAAAATCAATCTATCCGATTTTACGACATTTTATATATTCACTGTCTTGCAGTTTTTATCAGTAAGATCGGTTTTGATTGGTCTGTTAATCTGTCAGATCCTGTTTGACTGTCAGAGCTAATGATCACAGTTATCTAGTTAATTAATGACGTATCAATTATTTCCCAATCAAGAAACTTTGGGCTCAAATTCACGCAGTTTGCCGAGACGTGAGGTGCCAAACGGGCCGTAAAGATGTAGGGCGACTATGTACGCGTGGAAGGCTATTTATACACGCCCTGACTGTTGTGTATACGAACATTGATATATGTGACTCAAAAACTTTGATATATCAATTATCACATAATCTAATGTAAATATTAAAACAACATTTAAAAGATTGATCAATCTTTATTAGATAGGTGTTATAATGAAAAAGATCATGTCTAAAGATTACAAAACATGTGTAAACATATAAATAACATACCTATTCAACTACAAGACTAATTAGAGAACATCAACAGCTATACACATATAGTTCACACATCAGTTCTAACATTGTGTAAACCTCTTATAGCTTGAAGGAGCATTAACGATATATTTCAAAAGTTTATCTAATTTTAAGGGATTTTTGACCAAATTGTTGTTTTAGTGTTTTCAATAAAATATATTTATACATGTACCTATATATACATTTAAAATATTTTGTATACTTTTCTATCATAATTCAACAGCATGTAAGTTTATGTTCGGAATGTACTTATTTCTAAAGTAATATCAATATTTCTCAAGCAAAAAAGCAAGAAAACACATTGTACTTGACATTCTGAGATTTAATATTACAAAATAAATAAAAGATAAAATAAAGATAAAATGAAAGAGCATTTCTATTAAACGAACTTTACCTTGAGCAAATAAGGTACATGTGATTAAATATATAGCAACAACATAAATCAAAATCATTGGCGTTTATGCCGTTATATGAACAGTTGACTTTTATGAAGACATATTTGAAAATTACGAATTTATTTAAAGATTTTTTTCCCCCTAAAGTTTGTGTGAATACTTGACTGTTTGTTGAGTTTATGGCCCCATGAACAGCCAGGGTCATTTTGAGGCGGGGTCTTCTTGTAGTAGCTGGAACGTGTATAAATTAAATTGATAGCAAAATGGTGTGAAAATGCAAAACCAAATTTATCAAGAAATGTTACTGTCTTTTGAAAAAAACATGTCTGTATGTTATTACCAAAGGAAACAAGAAATAAGGCTTATTCATGGTAAACTGTAGGGTATAAACAAATTATTTTCTTCGATTAAAACAGTGGAGTTATGGTTTCTTCATTTGTGAAGTTTTTATCTTATTGTCATTACATCTCTGAAATTTCATCTAGAGGATTACCTAAGGAACGGGATATGGAAATATGCACAACAAATACACCGAAGTCCAAGAACTTTGTTTAATTTCGAAAGTTTCCAAACAGTTCAAAGTTGAACTAATGGGTAAATGATCATATGACAATGATGAAAGCAAATAGTGTTTCGTACTTAAATTCGTACTGACGATTAAGGGGCAATAACTCGTTTGAACCTACAAAGTGAGAATTTTTCTTAAATTACTAAAATCGTTCTTCTGCTCTCAAATACCTCTTTTCATGTTCACAAACAGAACTTGAGTTATACAACATGTCTGTTTTTGGAGATCATAAAAAGTTGGAATCCGTAATATTACCATAACATATCTAATACATGTACTTGAAAAAGAGTTTGATATCATGTCTGCGTTTAATTAGTCGAAAAATGTTGGGAAAATACCGTTTACACAAAGCATCAACGACACAATGACAAAAGAAAAATCGTTATATACATGGTATAACTGTCAAAACACAATAACATAATTCCTGCATGAAAGGGTAAATGGTATATCACAAACTATCAGACAATGGTAAAACAATACCACGTGTAATTGATTTTTCTATGAGTAAATCCAAGATTCACTTCAGCGTATTAAAGCAAACACTTAAGCATTAACTATCCTTCATTGCCTGAAACGAAATATAGGATTATATGTAAGAATTATGCATTATTATTGAAAAGTTGATACTGGCATACATATATAAATACATTGTCAAACCGCATAAGTAGATATAACAATACAATAAAACAATAGAAATGACAAATAAGATTGACCAGAATCTATATTGCAATAGGAATTCCATTGTTAACAATTTATAGACACACTTATGTCGCAGTAAAAGAATTATTTTGAAAACAAAAGAAAAAGAATACAAATTCTTTTTAGACTTTAATCATAGGCAATTTGATGATGTCAAAAAACGTTATCCTACAACCAAATAATCCGATAGTCTAATATCAAACAAATTTATTTCATACCATACTGACTATTACCTACATATATTTTCCGTCCAACTTCGCCAATTCGACGTTTGGGCTTCGGTTTATCTTCTTTGGTCTGATCCGTCTATAGATTGGAATTCTATTATCAAAATATGTCCGTTTTCCTAAAAAATATAACAAAGAAACGAGCTCAATATAACACGTGACATCTTATGGAAATTGATTTGACGGAGTGAAGTAAGTAAAGCGGTGAAATAAATTTCTTTGCCCCTGACTTCGCTCTAGACTACTAATCATTATGTTGAGGGATAATAATGATAATAACATTTGGTTCTCTTTTGATTTTTTCTTGATGCTATGTCTCGAGGGACTCTTTTCCGTGGTGTTATATTTTATCATGATACCATGTTATAGTTTATCAATTGCAAGTCTCCATATGTTAGTTTATATAAGTTAATACAGTCTTTTAACACAGTAAAGTTATTTACCTAATGACAAAACAAATATTAAATAAATTATCTACAGTTTGCCATAAAATGAAATTGCAACATTAACACAGTTGAAAGAATGACAGTAAAGTAATTTCAGTACCTTTGATAGGGCCAATGATTTTGTTCGGTATGCCTTTGAATAATTTGTTCAAGTGCTGAAATCGACGAGAAACGATAGCTCTTCTTGCCAATCGGTTATATAGTTGCATGGGCAAAACGACGATATCATCGTCATCAGTATCTGGTATTTTGTCATCGTCAACTTCATTATTAGCATTGTCGTTTTCCAAACTGTAATCATTATTTTCATGCATGTCGTCAATATCCTCAAAGTCATTGATATCGTCTGTATCATCATTTTCATAATCATCGTCACGATCATCCAAGTTAAAATGGTCATCATCGTCAACATCATCTTCATGGTCATCATCATAGTGATCATCGAAGTCATGACGATTACCGTCACTAGTATCATGATCATCATCGTCAATCTCATTTTCATAATCATCGTCTTGATCATCGTTTTCATAACGATCATCATCAAAGAATTTCTCTTTAATGGTGTCGTCGTCAAGTCTATTTTCATAAACATCATCGTCAATTTCCTCATTATCCCTGTCGTCATAGTCAAAATGGTCGTCAGCATCATCATCGTCATTGTCTAATTCGTCGTATTTATCGTCGTCATCAATATATCTTTCTCTTATATTGTCATCATCACCTCTGTCGTCATAGTTATCATCATCGCCTTTAGCATCGTCAGTGTCGTCTTCGTCATTATCATTTTCATACATATTTTCGATAACATCTTCTATATGATCTGTTATATCATTATCATCGCTATTTTCATAATCGTCATCGTCGTCATCATCAGCATCTTTCTCCATAATTTCACGATCTTTATCATCGTCGACATTATCGTATATGTCATCGATATCGTTAGTAAAATCTATTTCATCGTCATCTATATCATCTTCATCATAGTCATCGACGTCATCGTATATATCATCAATGTCATCTTTCTTATCGATGATATTTTCTAGAATATCTTTCTTCTCTTCTAATATGTCGTCATATACATCATCTATGGCATCTGTTTTCTCAATGATATCTTCTAAAGCTTCTTTCTTATCTTCTAATATGTCATCAATCTCATAATCGTCATCATCGTGGTCATCGTAATCCATATAGTCATCCTCCTCATCATCATGTCTGTCTAGATACTTGTCATCAGCTGTAAAACGAAAACAGAAACTAGAAAAGCATTAATTGAATAACATAGTTATGGCGGTTTTTATATGCCTCTGCAAAATTATGACCTCTTAAGGTTGTTGTGCCTAACAATATAGCATATCATTGTACAAAAATGCATAGTAGTTTACTATAAATATTTACTATTCAAAAATAGCGATATGTTATTACAACAATATTTCCATAACTACCATATTGTTAAACGTTCAAAAACATCACTTCCTAATATTCAGGACGTAAGGGTACGTTTTAATAATCAATTGCACATATAGGTGTCATCTGGTTCATAAAAGCAAAAAAAACATTTCTTCAGTCTCCATTATTATGTAAATACGACAGCAAATGAACGTTTATTTGACGAAAAAAACATACCCACCTTTAACGAGTTTTCTCATATTCTCTTTAAATTCCTTAATATCGTTATCATCTTCATAATGGTCATCATCTAGCATATCATCGTCGTAATCGTCGTCATCATCGTCGTCATAAAAATCATCGTCCTTTTCAAAATAGTTTCCTAATTCCTCTGGATAGTTTTCAGGAAGTATTTTAGCACTGTCATGGGTTGCGACGTCATCAACAAACTTTGGGATCTGTTTTTGTAGAGCAATGTCCAGGCGGATTGGGATTTCAATATTACAACGCCATAAATATTCCCCGAATGCACGTCTGAGCATGCGCACGGCCCGCCAATACGTCATAGGACATTTCTGCAGTTTGTAATTCAGACAGTCCATGTGACGGTTCAGCCTCCTATATATTGCAAATTGCAAGTAAGATGTAAACAGAAATTGTCAACAATGCACTCTGTATGACTTACAAGTGTTTAACACCTTTCAATACCTTAGCAGTAGGATTAAACTGTTTCGTCCTTCCAGGACTAGTCAGTGATGCTAACATCCGAAGAACTTAAAGTGTTCTTGAAAAAAATTATCAGATATACAGAAATTACGAAATTTACTGAATTATGAGACTGGTGCACATCCCATTTGAAAATTTGACACTTCTTTCAATCACTTTGGAGTCGCCTCCTAGGTTTAAGATTTAAGCTCTTCACAGACAAATTCTAAAAGGACGAAACCACTGTATGAAGCAGTTTAATTCATTGTTTGGCTGTACTTTTTCAAAAAATGATGAAAATATATGTTCATCGATAAAATGTAACCTACCATACGAATAATATAATAAACTATTAAAAAAAACGCATTAATTATATACTGTGAAATATGATTTTAACTAATAAATAAACATAACTAAAACTACAACAACTACTTTATCATTTCAGTTGTCATTCTCGTCGACAGTAACTTACCTACACAATAGCACTTTAGAACGGCGTCTATAGGCTTTAATTAAACTTTCCATTGTCCTTATACAGGTACCTCGCCCACATCCACCATGCATCTTCTTAACTGTGACAGTGTTCATAACGGACAGTTTCAATAAAGAAAACATATTAACCTTGCTGGATATCCTCTCTATTTTCATTAAGCACGAAAACAAATCTTCAAGTTGTGATATCAGTAGAAGGTATTTGATACAATAAGATATTGTCATTTCCCTGACATTGTAAGACCATAAGTATGTAATTGTACACTGTAAAAAGCGTCCCCATACTCTGGTGAGGGAAAAACAGTGGGAAAGCAATATAGCATATTAAAGAAATACTAAAACAATATTAAAAACAAAGCAAAACGTGTTAATGAAACATTATGCCCTCTGTTTGACATTAAAACTGTACTATGCAAAGCATGTGCTTATTGCATGCACACTTTGTTGAACACTTATGTCTTTATTGTGGTAATGGTTTTCTTCTTTCAAATGTATGTCAAATGTTACGGCCAAGGTCACATGACCAGAAAAGTTTGCTAAATACGAAAGCCCGGCCTCTTACGGTGCAATAGCTATAGGTATGGTTAAAGTTGACACCAGACAAATAGACGGCACTAAAACAATATACTGGGGCATAAAAAGAAGAAAATAATCAAATTAAGTAAAATAAAACATACGAGAATGTAGGATATGTTATGCGTGTTATCAAGTTTAATTAGAGTACAAAACAAAATAATACTTACCGAAACCATTCTCTGTGGCAGCCAATCTACTGCCCATCAGGGAGACAGGTGACGGCAGTTTGTGTCGGTTCTTGGAAACTGATCCTGTTATCACTTTATGGCCTGCTTCCGCTGTCTTGTCGTTATCTGCTGGCACTGAAATCAACACCTTATGAAATCACTCAAGTCCTACAGATATTAACTGATTAAATAAGTATATAAAGGATACTGATTATCCTATTTGTTATTAAGCTACCATCATTTGAATTTTTACAACGTCACAGTTCTACTTTATTTTTTAGCATTCAGAGGATTTCGGTTTCGAAAAGAGTTTTCTCAGCAATATTGAAAATAATATGTGAATTGCTTTGATATTATAGAACACAATTATATATTGGATCCGAACGACAATTGATAATTATTAACAGTGATAGATTCCTTGGACAGTAATATAGACAGAAATCAAGTTCCTCCAGGACAAACACTGTGATGGAGTGACAGAAAAAGAATATTAAGAACAATAACTTAGACTTAGAATCATGCAAGTATAGAAACTGGAATGGATGGCAGTGAATGTAGACAGTCACATAGAAATGGAAAAGATTTTATACTTAGGGACATAATAGATCAGCCAGTTGTCGTTCTACTTTATTTTCACCTGATGTGACAATTAGTAATTTCTCATTGCCAAAAATAAAGAATATCACTTTTATATAAAAGATGGAATCAAAAGTCCGTACCTTTGTCTTTGCACAATTGAAACCCAATTGAAATATAATTTACTTCATATACAAGTATCATCATAATACTTCAATATGATACTAGGATTTATCATGGCTTACAAAAAGTCAAAATCCGAACAAATAAGCATACACTGAAAAATCATATATTTTCGATGAGCTCAAATTTCGTGACTTTAAAAAATATACATTTTTCTTTACTCTTAATTCAAATCTTGCCCACGAAATCCAAACAATGACCAGTGGACATAAAAAATCGTGGAATATGAGTAACATAAGTTCAAGAAAAAGAAAAACCACGAAAATCATTTATTTAACAGTAAGTTATTTTATGGTATTTTATCAATATAACAACTCTTTATTGAATTATAAAGGAAGTATTTATAACAACTGAGATAACATTAATTGTTTTTCTCACTCCTTAGTAAGTACTTGAGCAGTGACCAATGTCAGTATATTACCGACTGACATGAGCTGTCCAATGAAATGACTAGGTGACAATAGATGTCCTTCGCCGTTAGCACCTAGGTCAGACTGATCTATTAATCACCGACACACAATGCTGATACAGTGATTACTAGCAAGACAAATGACCAATTACGTAAGTAGAAAAGATGTCCATCTGTAAGATAGATATTTATACTGCACTGCTGAAACTTTGCCCGAAATAACAACCAAAAATCAACATTGATTAAAGATGAAGACAATATAAGCCTTGTTATAATTGGCTTTTTTCTTCGTTCCGGCAATTTTACTTAAACACGAAAAAAAGATACTTGTGATTTAAACACTTTTTCCTGTATATCCAGGTATATGAACTTACATGACTGTCCTAGTAAGGAAGATATCGGGAACTTGAACTGACTGGTCGGTTCTATTTTGTCCAGCATTCCGATCATGGAACGACGTCTTCCCTTTCTCCTTCCTTCAATTGATGAGACTAGCAAAAGAGGTAAGAATGTTGTACAACAAAGCAAGCAACAGACATCATCAAGTACTTACTAACAGGACCAAGTTTAGGAATTATTATCAATTCTTGTCCAGATTTTCGATAGTTCAAATATTTTCGCAACTTAAAAACAGAAGGGTGTATTCTGTAACGGAATGTATTTATTTCTTTTTTATGTCCAATATATTTTTGCAATTGTGTTACTTCCTCGAAACTTGAACCCCGCGAAAATAACAATCTTAAGAATATTTTGACCTCTGAAATGATATTAAGTTTCATTGTTGCCGTTAGGTGTGTTACTTTGTTAAAATATCTTTTTCGCCTACTGTATTGGTGTTGATTTGGATAGTAAGATATTTTTATATGTTTTGACAGTGGGATAAATATATATATATACGTTTTTGACGTAGTCGAAAATATTGTCTTTGTATGGCGGAACTATTGTGATTGTATGTTTCCTTTTCCCTAGATATTATGGTATTTTCCTATTGTGTTGAAGTGATGTTTTTTATTTTATTGTTAAGTGACACCGTGTATTTTCATGTCTGATGTTGACGCAATGATATTAATGGTTTTTGTGCGTTGAAACTGTTGTAGTTTCAAGTCTGGTGTGTTGACGCAATGATATTAATTGTTTTTGTACCTTGACACTGTTGTAGTTTCAAGTCTGGTGTGTTGACGCAATGATATTAATGGTTTTTGTGCGTTGACACCATGTATTTTCATGTCTGATGTTGATGCAATGATATCAATGGTTTTTGTGCGTTGAAACTGTCGTAGTTTCAAGTCTGGTGTGTTGACGCAATGATATTAATGGTTTTTGTAGGTTGACACTGTTGTAGTTTCAAGTCTGGTGTGTTGACGCAATGATATTAATGGTTTTTGTGCGTTGAAACTGTTGTAGTTTTTGTGCGTTGACACTGTTGTAGTTTCAAGTCTGGTGTGTGGACGCAATGATATTAATGTACTTTGGTGTTCTTAAATCGACAGGAGTGGAAAGATATATGGATAGGTTGCTTATCAGCTCGGAGCAAGTGTGAAAATAGCAAATACATTCATCCAAAACGTGAAAACGAGTTGATCAATCATCAAGCAAATGTTTGTTCATAGTCCTTCTCTTATCAACCAAATAAATGCTTAGACATGACACGATAACAGAGTTTAAGCGTCAAGTTACTTTTTACGAAAAACTATGAACGTGATAGTTAGAAAGAATTCGTAGAATTGGAGGTGCAAAGAAATACAAAGAAATAAAAAAAAAGTGGAATGCAAGAAAGAATATCGTTTTCGTGAATTTCGTAAAAAAAGGAGATAAAACAGAAATAAAAGTTTCCTCTTTTACTCTATCTCAAGTGTAAAAAAAATTATACAACAATTGATTTATTAGATATCTATGTCTTTACTGAATTAACGGTAAATATACACGCAAATTTAATCTTTTCATAAGACAAAAATACTCACCATATATAAGAGAACATAAAATACATATAATCCCAATCCTTGTTGTGACCATGATGCCGCCCAGCTTCACGTCCAGTTTATCGTGTGGCCAATGTCCATATGCCTTATGTAGCGTTTCGGGGACTGTGGGAAGTGGTATTACGTTAGTGTGTGATGTTCGTTATGACTCCTTTGTTACAATGGCACGCTAACCTGTCACAGTTACAGAGACGCTTGTAATTCTGTAATTTATGTATGATAAATGGCCGCCGATCGTGTCTAGCCGATGGCTGTACATGGTCTTATAGAAAATTATGACGCAAACCAAACTACAAAGGATGGTTCGTAGGATTTATAAGATATTTTGTAAATTGTTTGCTGAAATGAAGCAGACGACAACATTATATTTCGGTTCGTGAAACAAATCGTTGTTTTTAATTTAAATCCGAGAATATGTTGTGTTATGTAAGTAAGTTTGTTTTTTATTTCTTGAGCAAAATTGAGTGATGCATTAAAAAAATGGTAATACAAGAAAAGAAAGAATCCGAAAGCTAGGAGCCATTTTCGTATGTTGCAGCTGCAACTGACATTTAACTGTGGAACTATTGCAATCGATCTCATTAACCACTTCAAACTGTTGCGAAGGAGACGGACGTTCACGTGTTCTTCCAAAGGTTATCTATATTTCAAATGTTTTGTAATCGAGATTATCATCACAGGACTGTTGTTTTTAAGGAACTCTTGGTTTATCAAGAATAGAAGAAATTTGCAAAAATGTATGTCACGAAGGAAACAATATGGCACTATTGCAGTATTCCAAACAACAGACTTTTTACTTTCAATATTATGGTGTCGTCCTTGCAAACTCTCGTTGTGATATCAAATGTGATTCCATGAAAGTTTTTTTAAAACTAGATTGACACCTTTAACATTATTGTATATGCACTGAGGCGTTATATTTATTGAAAAAAATTACTAGAGTACTGCTATAAACTAACTGAAACAAAAGTTATGTAGCTTGAAGAAATAAGTAGATAATCAGATGAATGAAGAGTAAAATATTGACATTCTTACTACAGTTTCAAAATTATAACTCAATTTGGGGGACTCAAATTGCAACTGCAATACTAAATACCTACCATGGACACTTAATTTCGTTTATAAACTATACTCTCTTAACATTTGAAAATTAACCGTTTAATAGTTCCTGAACGTATGAATTAGTGGATCAAAAATACTTTCGAAATCTTCAAAATGAAACTCGGAGAGTATTGATTTACACATACATCACAGTGCAACTATTGTGGAATACTACAGAAGGAATCTCATAGCAATGTTTGCTGATGGTGTGATGTTCTCCATGCCATATCAGTAGTTTCTCCATCGTTTGAGTTCAATTGTAAACATAATACAAGCACTATGGTTTTCATCACCACAAAACTTTCGAACATGAAAAACTGGGTTTTCTTCCCCGGGTTGATGTATTAGAGAGGAGAGAACTATTAGGCGCCTAATGGCACTGACGAGTCATAGAAGAACAGAATAGTTGTATGATGCAGTTTAATTCATTGTTTGGCTCTTCATATCTAACTCTTAATTTGTATTAAAAGATGCTGTGCGTTTGTTTGTTTGTTTGTTTTTTTGTTTTACAATCTTCCTGTAATAGGTGAAAGCAGGGAATTGCAAAAATATCAAGTTTGAACTCTGGACCATTTGAACATTGCACTACAATTCTACCCATCACTCAACAGGGTTTACATATATATTACGTGTTCCTGAATTGATGATGGTCTTGACCTGTCAACACTCTGTGAGGAATTAAACAAGAGACATATCTTTGACATATCTTGATGAATCACCAAGCTGAGATACAGGTAAAGAAGTATACACATATATCCTTGATACGTCATTATAGTGATATTAATAGTTCTATCCTCTCTAATACATTAAAAGGATTTTGCGCAAAAGATATACGTTTAGTGAAAGATGGATTGAATCCTTCATGAAGAGTGAAACGGGGTCTTTTTCTAACTTTATTGTTCTGAAAAAGATAATTGAAAATTTGAAATAAGCATGATTTATGTCAGATTTGTTTAACCAAGACATGTAATCTTTCATTCTCCTACCACTGTATACCATTTTTTAAAATCTAAGTAGTCATCACTCGTATAGTTATGGTACGGGTTATCTTACTGCCATACACAATTCGCAAGACTTTGCAACCTGTTCATTGTTCCTATAGAGACAGAAGTGTTACAACAGCTTGCATACAGTGCAATTGACACCAAGCGATGTTGTACGATCGATTTACCTTGAAAATACACATAGTACATCCTAATTAATTGACTTTTTAATTGCCTTAATTCTAAAAATTCAGACCACTAAACATCTGTTTTACGTAGCAGAGAGAGAATTCAAACTCAAAATAGTCCGAATGCAACGTCGATACCTTCCGTGTAAAAGGTTCCTCCAGTAAAAAAAGGGGCTTATAACAGTGAAATCACAAGGTATACTAACGAACATCGAACACAACTTCAAAGGGTAGGAGAGAACGTTCCTCCTTAAAATTATGAAAACGACGATACAATTTTCCTTGTTTTATATCCTTCTGTAACTTTCGAAACCACGTGCTGTACACAGTACTGTTACTTTTAAGAAATGGGAAATCCACGAGTTCAGAATATACGTATGTACTTGTATATACATTGCGCAATGTGTTGAATTGTTGAGATAGGACATCTCACCATCTAGATTTCGGCTTTCTTTCGATCAATTGTGGTTTTACTCCGTCGTCACCAAGGTTTTAAAGTTATTTGCATCACTGTCGAATTTTTTAAGGGTGAAGCACCTGTTTGATGCAGTTTAATTATTTGGCTCATCTGTATCTTATTCTAAATCTTAATTACCATCTGCTATTTATGTGTCTTCTGTACAGGAGGGGGAATGAAGAAATCATCATACTTACCATATAGTCTACAGGAAGTGAAGGATCGGGAAAAGATTACAGATCAAGACATGTCTTTTCCATGACTTTCAACTTTGTAGGTGTCTTTCTTGTTTCAAGGGACAAGAGATCAGCATAGTAATTATATCTACAAGATAATTTCAAAATTTATCAAAAACCCGTTTTGTATGAAAACAGAAACAAGATTGCAAAGTGACAGGTTCTATTTGTAGTTAAAAGCTGACGACATCATTGTCAAACTCAACAAAGAAACTCTCGATTCCACCATCAATCAACTGAGCTTTAGACTTACCAGCTTTTCGCAAAATACACTCCCGTATACTTCATAAACAAGCTAAAGACTTTTTTCTCGTATCAATAAAAACCAAAAAAGTGTCCGAAATAAGAACGAGTTTGAAGAATATTATCGAATCTTGTAATCGTGATGGTTTCGATCACGCTCAGGGTTGAGGAAGCTGAAGAATTAGACCAGTGGGGAAAACGAAAAATATTTAAGCGCAACATTACCTTTTGTTTATGTATTTGACCCTGAAAACTGAGTGATATCAATAAAGCATTCACCTTATCATTGTATGTTCCTGAAAATATTTGATATTGCAGGTGTCCAATCTTCGTATAAGACATGTCAACTATCTCATATGAGAAATGGAAACGCATCTTGTCAGTTAAACAAGAGATCCCAGAGGGATCTTGGCGCCCACCATTTAAGGATCTGTTTTCAGTTCTTGAAGATTTTTGTTTGTTTGTTACAGGTGTTGTAAATGTTCATGAACTGGTCTTCATTGAATGTACTCAATGATGGCACAAGATATTTTTATTAAGCACCTATTAGCAAATATCATTTGAAAAAGATCCCAAAGTATTATTAGATAGCAGTCAGTTACAGGTGGATAATGGACAATATGCTTGTGCTGTATTACTGTCGACATCCAAGATGGCTGCCTGTGGGCCACCTTGATTTCAAATCAGTCCAAAAAAGGTACAATGCACAACTAGGGACCAAGGGAAACCAATATCTATGAAATATCAGAAGGATCCATCCTGGACTTCCTCAGATATAGCAATAAAAAGATTTTACTCTCAAAATCCAAGATGGCTGCCTGTCAGCCATCTTGATTTCGGATCAGTCCAAAAAGGTATAATGCACAACTTGGAACCAAAGGGAACCTGCATATGAAATTTGAGAAAGATCCATCCAGTACTTTCTAAGAAATAGCAGTAACAAACTTTTACATTCAAAATCCAAGATGGCCACCTGTCTGCCATCTTGAATTCCAATAAGTCCAAAAAAGGTACAATGCACAACTAGGGACCAAGGGGAACTTGCATATGAAATTTGAGAAAGATCCATCCAGTACTTTCCAAGAAATAGCGATAACAAACTTTTACATCCAAAATCCAAGATGGCCACCTGTCCGCCATCTTGAATTCGAATCAGTCCAAAAAAGGTACAATGCACAACTAGGGACCAAGGGGAAACTGCATATGGAATTTGAGAAAGATCCATCCGGTACTTTCCAAGAAATAGCAGTAACAAACTTTTACATCCAAAATCCAAGATGGCCACCTGTCGGCCATCTTGAATTCCAGTCCAAAAAAGGTACAATGCACAACTAGGGACCAAGGGCAAACTGCATATGAAATTTGAGAAAGATCCATCCAGTACTTTTCCAGAAATAGCGGTAACAAACTTTTACTTCCAAAATACAAGATGGCCACCTGTCGGCCATCTTGAATGTGAATCAGTTCAAAAAAGGTACAATGCACAACTAGGGACCAAGGGGAAACTGCATATGGAATTTGAGAAAGATCCATCCAGTACTTTCCAAGAAATAGCAGTAACAAACTTTTACATCCAAAATCAAAGATGGCCACCTGTCGGCCATCTTGAATTCGAATCAGTCCAAAAAAGGTACAATGCACAACTAGGGACCAAGGGAAACCAATATCTATGAAATATCAGAAGGATCCATCCTGGACTTCCTCAGATATAGCAATAAAAAGATTTTACTCTCAAAATCCAAGATGGCTGCCTGTCAGCCATCTTGATTTCGGATTTATAATGCACAACTTGGAACCAAAGGGAACCTGCATATGAAATTTGAGAA